AGAATAGTGTCGATGAAAATATGAAATGGTCGGATTGGAAAATGAGGTTCATAAAAGCCTTTGATGAAGATACAGTATTCAAATGGGAAAAGGCAATTAATTTCAAGTTTTTCAAAGGTTGTCTTATGGAATGTTTCTATGAGAAACTGAGATTGCTGAACTGGGCTGACAATGCATTATCTGAAGAATCCACTATAGCTCATATCATATTAGGTCTACCATATTATATTCAACGACAAATTTGTACAATACTCCTAAAACTAAGAAGGACCTCTTACAAGCTTTAAAATTTGTTAATATTAAAACAACCGAGAGACAAAATTTCGGAACCAGATATAAAATGAGATACCAGAGCAAGGTGGAAGAAAAGAATATAGAAGAGGAGATGAAGAAAGAAGAATACCAGATAGAAATTAAAACAAAATTTTAAAATACAATAGTTGTAACGAAATTGGAAATGATGAAATAAATTGTTTAGAACTTTATTCGTCCTATTCAATTTTCCAAGCCTCTTAGAAAGAAACCAAAATGTAATACAAATTTTACTTAATGATGACATAATTATACATGCTTTAATAGATGCAGGCTCAGATTTAGACATAATAAATAAAGCTATTATAAAAAATATAAAGCTTAAGAGATTTGAACATCAATTAATAATAAAAAGTTTGGCTGGCAATACCAAAGTTTATTATAGAGTAGATGAAAATATTACATTTAATGAGAATAATATTAAAATAAAGCCTGCTATTGTAGAAAATTTAAGTTTTGATTTGATAATTGGCAGAAAATCTACAGGGTGTTCCATCTCAGACGAGTATATTTCTTATTCCATAGTGATTAGAAAAATTTCCCGAAACACATCGGGTGATTTTCTTTGGGGGACATCTGATAAAACAATTAATTTTTTTTAAGAATGTGATTTTTTTCATACACCGTTTTAAAGAGGCTTCCAAGACCTTACAAATTCAATTTTGAGGGATTGAAGCGCCCCCTCAAAGGGGGGTTGCTCGTTCAAGCCTCAAATATACGTCAAAAGATGTCCCCCAAAGAAAATCATCCGACGTGTTTCGGGAAATTTTTCTAATCACTATGGGATAAGAAATATACGGAGTGGCTCGTCTGAGATAGAACACCCTGTATAAAAGAAATAAATATTTTCGGTTATTCACTAAAAACTCATTTTAGTTTTACTGATGATAACATTCGTCGAAGATTTCCAAATATATTAAATTATGACGACACAAAACCTTCAAATTTTATAATATTTTGTTTAAAAGAAAACTGTAGAATAATAAAGACAAAACCTTACAAATTTTCTTCATATAAGAAAAATTGGATTAGAGAAAAAACTAAAGAAATGTTAAAGAACGGAATTATAACAAGATCAACATTCATATATGCTTCGCCGTGTGTGCTGAAAACTAAATCAGATGGATCATTTGGATTATGCATCGATTTCAGAAAAATAAACAAAGAGACTGAGTTAGATCCTTTCCCGTTTCCTATGATTAATGATGTTATAGAAAAGGATGGATTCTGGAATATTAGTATTACAAGAGAAACAAGAACATTTACTGCATTTGTGACTGAATATAAACATTTTGAATTTACTAGGATACCATTTGGCTGGAAAAATTCCAGTGCCACATTTCAAAGAATAATGCAGACAGTTCTAGGCGAATTATTGAAAGATAAAGTAACTGTATATAATCTTATGAGAAATGCAAAGAACTAACTTTACGAGTTTTAGAGAAACTTGATAAAAATAATCTAAAAATCAATTTTAAGAAGTGCACATTCTGTGTACCAGAAATAATTTTCCTTGGTCGCCAAATTGATCGAGATATAAAGAAAATGAAAGATGAAACAGTAAGAAATATGAAACGGCCTGTGAACATAAAATCGCTACAATGTTTTACTGGTTTGACAAATCATTTTCGTTCATTCATAAAAATTATAGTAGAATTGTCAAACCATTGGAAGAATTGAAATGCAAAAATAAGAAGTTTATTAGGACCGACGACTGTGAAAAGACGTTCAAGACTCTAATATATTTATTAACTTCAGAACCTATTTTGAAACTGCCAGATCCAAGGCTCAAATATAAACTGTCAACTGATTCTTTTTATTATGGCTGTGGAGCCATTCTCTACCAACGAGATCCAGATGTATATAAGAAACATCAGCTGCGAGTAATTAGTTATTATTCGTATTCTTATTGAAAAGCTGAACAGAATTATTATGTCGCTGAAAAAGAATGTCTAGCAGTTTTAAAGGGAGTGAAGCATTTTAGGACATATCTCGATGAAAAAAAGTTTTTAGTACATACAGATCATAGAGCGTTAACACAATTATAAGGCACAGGAAGTGGTAGTTATTTTTAAGATGTTTTAACATGGAGATAAATCATAACAAAGGACGAGAGATCCAAGACTTGGACGCAATTAGTAGATTGTGTATAGATATTTCAGGAAATACACCAGAATATTTCTAGTGCAATTTAAACATTCAAAATCTAACTAGAATGGATATGATCAAAAATATTATTCAACTGTATCATGATGATCTATATTCAGGGGGACATAATGAATATTACAAATTTAAACAGCGCTTTTATTGGAAATATATTAGTAAAGACATAAAAGAATATATTAAAATCTGTTCTGTCAACATGTAAAATTTAAATATTTGCTCGAATCAAATTATGTCCATTTAACTTCAAGTTATCAAAACTCTTTCGAAACAATACATATCGATGTTGCAGAAATGTGTAAAAAGGCAGAAGGCAACAGAACTACGAAATCTTTTATTATGGTAATTGATTGGGTAACTAGATATGTTACTGTAAAAGCAATAAAAGAAATCAATATTGCTGTGAAAAAATACTTTGACAAGCATCTTTTTATTGATCGAACAAAGAACATTAACCGATTGTGGAAGTGCTTTCTTTCACTTCAAAAGTTATCAAAGAATGGGCTACTAAGAAGACATTAACTTAATAACGACTACACCGTACCATCCAACAGGAAATGGCGTAGCAGAAAGGGTTATACGAAATTTGTAGAGCTTCATGACTTGTTATAATAACTTTCCAGGAGGATGGAAAGTCGCATTGTAATGGGCCGTACAGCATCACACCTATTCCCACAACGAATACAAAGTGTTCATCATATTTTAAGTTGCATGGGAAAAGTATAATTTTACCTGCAGATAAAGAACTAGGTATAGAAATCGACATTGAAGATAATCCTAAAAACAAATAAAATACAAACAAAAAATTCAAGAACAAGCTAAAAAATATAGAAGAAGAAGCCACCTAAAATTAAAGAAGGAGATTGGATTTTAGTTCGAAACCAGAAAATTGGTAAAGAATACATAACCAGAGGTCCTTTCCAAGTTTGCAAAGTAAAAATATATGCAAGAAGTTCTGACATATATGCACTTTAAAAACTCAGATAAGCAAGAAGGTGCTCATATCAGCAATATTCGCCAATTTTATCATAGGAGTGATAACTTCTTAGAGAAGGAGACTATAGGACATGCCGTATATTGTGTTATGTAATAAACATTCGAAATAGATTCCAATGGTAATTTATATTTTGTATTCTCGACACATCCACTAGGAATATTTTCTCATGAAAAGTATGTTATTTGGTATAGGAAATCAAATTTCCAATGGGAATATTGGAAATGGATTCTACTGAATCAAACTTGATCGGTCATCAGTCACATTTGCTTTTTTTTGTTATTTTAAATAATAATATTATTTCTAATATATCTTGTTTTTTAAAAACTGATGAAGCTATTTTACTTCTCCAATTAAACCATTTAGAAGAGGCATAAAGAAGAGCAAATAATGCTCTAAGAAATTTTTGGACTAAGTGAAAAATGAGCCCGGAGATTCCCTTTCAATCTTTTAAATGAAACCAAAATTATAAAATTATTTTGACTTTCGAAAGAGGCAGTTTCAGATCTACTTGCAGATATGAAAACAATGATGGTTCCCTATTTTTTTGTTAGTCTTAGACGTTTTTTTCATTGTATCTATCATTGTATTGATCAGCACAATATTTTTTTACGTAATGAAAGAACAAGAATCAAAAATTAACATTAAGCATTTATTATCATTGACATATATGACAAGAATCAATGATACCAAATCCCAACATAACAACTTGAAAGTATTGAAATATTTTGGTATTTAATACCAGACATACATTGGATATACCAATAATGAATATTCCCATAGGAATTACATTCCTAAATGGAAAATAAGCAGTGGCATTTTTACCCATGGAAAAATGTTCCCGTGAAGTCGAGAATCAAGGCCCAAGATATGTTTTTATTTCACAATTGTATTTGCCGTTTTAAGAACTTTATACTCTAGAGAAGTAAATTATGTCAATACATAAAAACCACCACAAGTAAAATAATAATTAATTGATTAATTACTTGTATATTTTTAAATACCACCCTTGGCCAGGTCTGCTCTTCAACAATTAATCAGATAGATTGACCAATCGGCTAAACAGCCAAATTTTATTTTTTTTTATTTAAAATTTATGGCCTTGGCATTGCCAATTGGCCTGACTAAAAATCTGGATTTAGAACACAAAATATTTTATGCTTTGTCTCTCTTTAGAATTTTTAAGAAAATTGTTCAAATAAAAGTTGTCTGCGATGTCATTTTCTACAATTGAGGAGCTTGCGTTCAAAAGCGGCTATCTCCCTTTTTTTGCCGATATGCTTTTTTTGCGATTTTCGGCTAAGTTTCACAAGATTTATCAACCGGTACGATCATTTGCGTTCGAAACGGGCTATTTGTATTTTAAAATCGTATATAAAGTCGGCCTTTTGCATCAAAACTGGCTATATCCTCTTTTTGCGATCAAAGGTGGTTATATCCAATAATTCGTTATATTCAGAAATACGGCAACATAGTGGTGCAATTCTGTGGAGAGTAGTGCTTGTTTGATCTCGGAAGATCCACGTGCAATATGAATGAAGAACTTATTACCGTGGAGCAAGGAAATAAAGGTTCTAGATGCCGTATGAAAAATGTGACAAAACGCCAGACTAAACAGTTATCAAGGTAAGAACTAATGAAATATTCTACGATTTACTAGTTATATAGCTTTTATGTACAGTTGAATTCATAAAAAAGGCATACAAAGTTTAGACTCGTTAACAGTTTTTAATGTAATTCTTATGTTTACTTGTCATGTTGTACGCTTTTTTTATGAATACAGCAGTAACTTATTTGTAAACATACGTTTGTATGTTTTGAGTTGAGTCTCATCTGAGATAAATATGGCCTTTTTTAGCGGTAGTGCAAGTTTTTTTTGCATTTTACAGATATGGTGACCCCGACCCAGCACTGATTCGATTCGGACAGTCTTGTCAACATAATGGCAAATCATTTCAGTGTGCTACAGTTAAAAAACGGCACATTCAGACTTTAAGGCAGAACTTTTATGCAGATTCGATCAAAACTAACCAAGACATTAGACTGTGTCATATGTTATCCGTCGCTTCTATTGCTCGTCGAAGATCGGATGGTGTTAATGTGGTTCCCTTGAAGAATCTCAGTATCTCGTATTTTATTAAGTGTGACAATAAAGCAACGCGGGTGTGTCAAAAGTTTTTTGTTGTTGCACTGTATCTCCAAACAAAGAGTTAATACTGTTGCAAAAGTCCTCTTTGCAGGTGGAGTCCCGAAGGAAAATAGGGGCGGTGATCGTAAATCTCAAAAAAGTGAAGAAAAAAAAGAATGTGTTCGTCATTTTCTCAAGAGACTAAAAGGACGCGAAAGCCATTATAACAGGAAAAAGTCAAAAAGAATATACTTGTCTGCAAGTCTGTCAGTTGCCAAGTTATGGAGACTGTTTAATAAGGAATACCCACAAAATCGGGTATCATATTTTATGTTTCGAAAAATTTTTATACACGATTTTAACATCGGGTTTTCATCGCCCGCCTCAGATGTGTGTAGTAAATGTACGCGATTGAAGCAACAGTACAAATTTGAGACAAAAGCTGAAATTAAAAATCAGCTGCTAGTGGAATACCGCGTACATAGAAAACGTGCTGCTGCCTTTTATGAGTTAGCCAAAGAAGCCCCAGAAAATAGTTTAAGTTTCTGCTTTGACCTTCAACAGGTACAGCCCTTACCTCGGACGGCTATTGGCGATGCCTTTTACTCACATCAGATAAGTTTATACGCATTTTGCTGTGTCGAGCTGTCTTCGCGTAATCCAACTTTCTATGTGTGGACTGAAGATTATGCTGGGCGTGGCTCAACAGAAATTGCCTCAGCACTTCTTCACCATCTAGATTCTCTTGACTACGATAGAATTGAGAAAATAAGACTTTTCTGTGATGGCTGTACAGGCCAAAACAAAAATTCCTACATAGTTCACGCACTTATGTTTTGGCTTAAAAATAAGTCTCCAGAAGGTCTGTCCGAAATCTCAATCACTTTTCCAGTCCGCGGACATAGCTTCATGGCTGCTGATCGTTGTTTTGGGAGAGTGGAGAGGTTGCTTAGGAAAAATACTGATATATTTTCTAAAGAGGAATACATTAAATTTTATTCAGAAGTCGGACAAGTGAAAATTTTAGGAAACGACTGGAAAATTTATAATGTAAAAGAACTAGAGAAAGTGTACAATAAGGTTAAGGGCATTGCTGAAACAAAAAGAATTTTTATCACAAAAAGTAACAAAAATCAACGAAATCCTAAGATTGAAGTGAATACACATCTGTATTATCGGTTTGCACCTGAAAATAAATCGCGTCAGATAATGCTAAAGAAAGGAAAAGACGATGACAACCTGGTTCTTAACATAATACAGCCCAGAAACTCTTTACCGGATAAGAAGAAACATAGTCTTAGAAAGCTTTTGAAAGAGCTGTTCGGTGAAAATTGGATGTCGCGAGCAGATCTAAAATGGTATAAAGATTTACTTATTTCTGGTAATGCAGATACAGAAACTAGCGACAAGGAAGAAGATAAGGGCGAACAGGATGTGCCATGTGACTGTTTAGATGAAGAAGCTGCTCTTCATATATAAATATTTTATGTTTCTCTTGTTTCTTTTTTTTTGTTTTTCATATCTGTGTTGAATTTTCCTAATTAAAATATGTTTTGTGTTCCAGTTTTATAATAAAAATGTGTTTTCCAAGCATTTTATTTTTTTTTGTCGAGAATTTTTATGGCTTTGCTATCAAAACCGTCTATATCCAAATTAATTTCCAATTTTTTTCAAAAACTATTGAGATTTGAGAAAAAATTTCAAATTGCGTCAAACTGCTTTCCTAAAACACTACAAATAAACATTTTTTGCTATCCCTATGTATTAAGGCGAACCGATGAGAAGTTTTCGTTGATTCCTGAACATTTTTTCTAAATGGATATAGCCGCTTTTGAACGCAAGCTCCTCAATTCTTGTCCTATAGAAAACTCTTTTAAAATGGATTGTATTAGAGATATTCGAGGAAAACTTTAAATATTGAAGATAACTCAAAAACGGAAAAGGAGAAAAACACCAAATTTTAAACTTAAGCTTTAATCTATCCCGCGATGGGCTGATTAAATTTTTGGCATAGTCCAAGTATCTGGGGGGTACTTTATAGGGTGTCGTTTTTTTTTTAACTTTAACTAAAATGGACCGTATAATCGAATTAAATTACGGGTTTTGAGCTTACATTAAATTGTAATTAGATGAAACAAAATGGATTCTATGTATTTTGAGGTGATCTTTTCGAAAAAAGGCAAAACAAAATGTAACAGTTTTTCGAAAGTGCCGAAATTTTGGATTTTGTCAATTTTTCAATTTTGCGCAGGCGCATGTCGGAAATAAATCAATATTTTTAAAACGCAGTTTACGACATTTGAAAGCTTAGGAAAAATGCTAATATTTATGTCTCTTGAGAAATCCGATGCACCGTTCTCGCGGTATGGACGATTGAAATTTGTTTAGTATTTTGAGGCGACGAAGGTCGAAAAATTGAATTTGTTAAATGTTCAAACACTAAATTCTTTATAACATTGGTAAAAATTAAGATATTTGAAAAAATAAAAATGCGTTTTGAACTTAAGGGATGTGACTAGTGATTGCCAGAGGAGGGCAAGAGAAATCCCAAAATTGGGCATATGGCGGAAGGGCAAAATGCTCCGCGGTCCTAATTTCATTGTTTGCCTATAACGGCCAAACTATTTGAATTTTTTTAATGCCACTTAAAAAATTTTTTTCGAAAGTTTGAAGTGGCACAAAAATGCCAAAAATGCACCCAATGGCTCAAAACTTTTTTTTTTTTTGAGTACTCTATTGTGTCTAGAATACGATTACATTACGGAAAATTCTGCAAATATATTTTATCTATTTTTTTGACCACTGTTCATTGAGTGACGACCAAAAAACACGGTTTTTGAGAAAAGTTGCCTAAAATTGACAATTTTTAGTTTTTTTGTCTGAAAATTAAACAAACCCAAATTTCATGTCTTCTAAATGTAGATACAAAGTTTAAAGTGTGTATGTTTCTTCTAAGTTGTAGAATTCTCCCGACAAAAGTCCCATTACACGCTCTCCACGGGATCCAAAACTCGTGTATACACTACATTACTGTAATTTGATTTTTTTGCGATTTCCAGTTTTAAATTTCTTGCATATCTAAATTTATTAGGCTTAAAATTTATTAAATTGTATTTTACTGACTTGTTATAAGACGTTTCTTGAGTTTTGTGCAAAATATAGAATTACCAGATATTAGAGAACAAAAAGCAAGCTTATCACCAAGTTGGAACTTTCACTCAGGCTTAGGATTAATTTCCTAACATTTTTAAAGTATACTTTTTGTGTATTTTTCGTGCTCTTTTCGATGGCGAAGTTAGTTTTTTCAAATATATTTATTTTGTTAGATGTTTTCGGAAAACCCGGAAAAAATCACATGGGAAAAAAATTAAAAAAAAAAAAAACTACGCCTCTGGTTTCCTGCGAATTCCCGAAAAATTATGTCAGATTTCGCCGCGGGACTTATTTTATTTGAGAGCCAACAAAAAAATACGCAACTTCTCTCATGGGCACATATGTCTAACATTTATAATTTCGCCACAAATTCATCGCAAATTTCATGTCCATGGTTCTGATCAAAAAAACGAAAAAACGACTTTTTGGTAAAAGCACTTCTGGCGGCGAGAAATTCACCATTAAAACTACCTGTGCAATAAATGTCCGAACTATTTTTGCCTCCTCTTTCGAATGGTGCATTTATTTTCACTATCGGAATGATACTTGCCCAGATAATTAGCATTTTTACAATGGAAAATTCCGGAAAACCCGGTTTTTCCTAATTAAAAAAAAATTGAAAAACTGCTACATCTTTTCTTTTTCTTTTTTTCGGAAAGATCACATCAAAATACACAAGGTCCTTTTTGTTTCATCCAATTACAAATTAATGTAAGCTCGAAGGGGCTTTTTTTCGTTATTTAATTGGACTAGTAATGGAAAAACTTAAAGAAATTGTAAAATTTTAATTTTTCAGTATTTTTGATGGCATATATATAGAAAATGTTTAGAGTAAGATGTTTGTGGAAAATGTATGTATTTAGTTCATTCTCTAAATATTTACAGGGGAGATACAATAGATTGCAGAATATAACCAAAAAAGCCTATAATAACCAGACAGGAAAGTCATGTGTTGAACATACCAGATTTTTGTTTTTATATACACGTATAATAACTGATGGCCAGATCTTGAAGTTGGATACATGGTGATGTTAAAACACGAAACATGAATGTTTTATCTAGCTCTTATAATGGTCAAAGGATACTCTCACTTTTTAACGACCTCTGGTCAATTTTTTTTGGAACTACGTACTTTTTAGGATTTCAGCAAAGTTGAATCACCTCTAATAATGTTATTCAGCGTGTAAGAGAATAAACAAAAGTTACAACATAACAATGTGATGTAAATTTCATTAATTAAACATTTTTATGAAAATTGAGTCAAGAGTACCTTTTTACTTTCTTGTATTCTTTTTACGAGTTTACGACGGATCTTTACGTTTTGAGGTCCCCTGAATCCGATTTGACTATTTTCGCGATGATGTCTGTTTTGTGATGTATATGTATGCACGATAACTTAAAAACGAATAAAGAGAAAAACACCAAATTTTAAACTTAAGAATCGATCCTTCGGTGGGCTGCTTAGATTTTAGACATATTTGGAGCATCTGCGGGATTCTTTATAGGGGGTCATTTCAAATTCATTTAGAAATAAAATTAAATGAGTTAAATTGTTAATCCAAACGCTGCTCTTATTTTAATAGCTAACCATAATTAATTTAATAAGTTAATTAAATAAAAATAACACCGGAGTTGACAACTCAAACATGCAATATAACTTCATAATTATTGCCGATATATGAATGTATATTTGTAAAAATACCGTCATTTTTTTGTTCTAAAATTTATGAATTTGGAGGTAAATTAAAATGTTGCACTAGAATTACAGTACACCCTATTTGAATTTACCAGCATATCGGTAGAAACTTCCACCTCTTTGACGAGTGAGATGGAAGACTATTTCGGATTATACTGTGGACAATGACCGTGTTAGTTCGTGGAATCCTCACAAGAAAGTTTGCCGAAGTAGAAATCTTTAACAAGTCCCAACATCTATCGATTCAAAGTAAATATTTTTCGAGAGTAACTATTAAACCAAATTAAATCAAAAAAATACAAAGTTATGTTAATAATAACGATTTTAGGCAAATGTTTAGATATTAAAATTGTCTTTCTTTTCTAAACGGACAATTGAACAATAACAAAAAGCTTCTACATTTTATATTCATAACTGAATGTATTTATATACATAAAAAGACATGATAAAAATAATATATTTGGTACAGAATCGATTTCATAAATAACTCATAATTCCTATATTATCACTTTCCAGTTATATGGAAAAAATAAAGAACCAAAATTATTATTTACACATATGTACAAGTATAAAGATTTAGTAATATTTACAATTTCATTTTAATAAATTGGAATAAAGAATTAGAATATTCCCCTATTATTTTTTCAAAGTTATACACTTAAGTTTTATTTTGGATGAGTGAAAGATTGTGATAAAAATAAATTGATTCGCTAAAAAAAAGAAAAATACTTACAAAATTTAGAAACAAGTGAGAATTTAAAGGATATCGAGATATTTACCACGTCTATACGATTTCAAAACTTTTAAAATAAACTATTTAAGCTGTTACCTAATAAATTCCCACCAATTAGAAATTTTGTAATATTTTTTAAGCAACAATTTATGTTTTAAAGGCACTTTCATTCTAAATTCGAGTTCTTGTTAATATCTGAAAATAAATTGAGATTGATTTAAATTTGAAAAAAATATGCATGATTTATTTTGTAGGTTATATTAGTAAAAGTGACAAAAATAGATAATAAAAAAATGACAAATATACTGTATATTTCGAGGACATTTTTTGAAAGTAATAGGTTTGTTTAGGTTCTTCAAAAATACGTTAAGAACTGTCAGAGGACTAGCTGATCAGTTGAAAGTTTAAAAAATATACGCAACGAATAATTTGCTATTCAACTGTTCCAATGGATTTCGGACGGTTTGCATCAAATTTTAAAGCAACCCGAACAAACCCAATAATTATTATAAACTAAATTAGTATGTTGGGTACACCAAGGAAAGCTACACTTTTTGATTGGAATCTGTCACTTTCTGTGGTTAAATTTGATGCCAAAAGATAACTTTGCAGATAAAAAGTAGCTTGAAAATCTATGTAGAACGCCAAAACAGTGGCCATTAAAGATAGTAGCCATTAGACGCTGTATTCGGGTATAAAAAGTTGTAAAGTTTGAAATATCCTCCTTATTATGATGCACCTAGCGCCCTCTCTTGCTTATATATTGAATGTCATGTTTATCATAGGACGATATAGTGCTGAAGTAGTTAGTCGTAATATAGTCGTTGCCGAAGAACAAGTGTTTAGTATTATTTTAAACCTACCAAGTTTCCCATTTTTAACACAAAATTTTTTGTTTATCAACTCCTCATAGTTCGATTAGGGGTTGAGACATTAAATAATTTAGGCGGCCAATACGGCGGCCATCTTGAATGACTACCATTTGGTGTTTTACACGGATTTTCAATTCCAGTCCAATCAAAAATTGCAGATTTTTGGCTTTTTTACGACGTACCAAATAAAAGGGATTGACAAGAACTCACTCATTCTTTTTGACATCGAAGAATCTATCCAAAACTTTTTTTTTAATAGAATGGTAGAATATTTCATATTTGACTGGGTTGTAAAAGTATTCCCTCTATTTTTTCTGATATCCTAAATTAAAAAGATATATCCCACTTTTTAATAATTGAAATGTATTGTTATATATCGTAAACCATTGGCGACGTGGAGTTGGTAAAATGGGGAAAAAATTGGATAATTTGCCCAATTTGAGGATGTTTTGACAACCAAAATATCAGGAACGGTTTTATGATTTTTTGGACTTCGAGTTTTCGATGGATTTTTACTTTTTGGGGTTTCCTGAATCTGTTTTGACTATTTTCGCGATGATGTTTGTGTGTGTCTGTATACTCGATAAATTATGAAAAGATACAGAGAAAAACACCAAATTTCAAACTTAAAGCTTCAGTCCGACCTGCAGTGAACAGATTAGATTTTGGGCATAGTCGGAACATCCGGGGAGTACTTTATAGATGGTCGTTATTCTATTTTACGGAATATATTTGTTATTTACGCTTGGAGAAGAAAATTCTTTAAGTAAAAGTTGCTTATGATGTCATTCTCTATAATTTTTATTCTGTATATAATTTTCTTAAATTGGTCCGAATTCAAGAAATTTTACAAAAAGTGCAAAATTTTAAATTTTTAAGAAAATTGTTAAAATAAAAGTTGTTTGTGATGTCATTCTCTATAATTTTTGTCCTAAACATGATTGTCCTAAAATGGACTGTATTCGAGATATTTGAGAAAATATACAATTTCGAATTTTGAAGATAACTCAAAAACGGAATAAGAGAAAAGCACTAAATTTGTAAAATTAAGCTTTAATCCATCATGAGGTAAACTAATAAAATTTTTGGCTTAGTCGGAACATCTGGTGGGGTACTTTATAAAAGGTATTTTTTATACTTTATGGAATATATGAAGAGTACAGGGAAAAAAAGATAAGGGTTAATTTTTTTTGCTGAAATAAGACTAACAATGAATTCGTATAATATAATATCAGCTATAGAATACTATCTACCTATTAGAAACGGCTAAAAATATGGTAGTACAACGATAAACACGATTTAAAATTTATAGCGGTGGACAAAAAAGATGAGGGCACCAGAGGTTGTTAGCAAGAAAGATGAAAGTTCATAAATGGCAACGGCGCGCTGTTGCGCCAGCTTACAATCGTAAACAAGATGTTCATTTAGTTCTCTGCCTAGTTACTGACGTTTAATTTTAATGATGCAATTATTGATTATTCTGTTTTTTAAAGTTTTGTGGTTTATTTTTTGTTGTTGAATAATGGCCGAGCAACAAATAACAAGGAAAAGAAAATCCTATGAATGAATGCAGGATGTAACTAAAAAGTTACGGTTAAGTAGTCATCAAACTGGACAAGACTGCAAATGCTCAAAACTTAAATGTTTTCAAAATCTCACTGCAGCCGATTTAAGCACGATCGTGTCTAAGTTTAATTAACTACAAAGTTATGATGAACAATCCCTTTATCAGAGCGGGTTAATAACGTGTAAACCTGTAACACGCCATCGTCCCAGGAAATCTAAAGAAGCTGACTTTCATTCGTTTATGTACACTTATAAGGTGAGATTCTTAAGAAACAACTAACTTTGTGAAATTCCAGTGTGTTATAAAGCTTTTTTAGCCGTAAATGACATAACTGCAAAAAGACTACAAACTATACAAAGCGGATTGAAATCAAAGGGTTCAGCGCCATTAGATATGCGAGGAAAGCACTCTTCCAGACCTAACCGACTTTCCAGAGAAGTAACAGATTCAGTCATGGAACACATTAGATCTTTTAAGAGTAGGAAGTCTCACTATGGCCTGGCTAAAACAACAAAGGTTTACTTACCTGCTGAGCTCAATATTAAGAAAATGTACTTACTCTATGCACAAAAAAATATCCTGCTAAATTAGTTTCTTATGAAAAATATAGAGAAACATTCAACAACAAATTTAATATTGCTTTTGGGTACCCACGATGCGATACGTGTAGTACGTGCGATGAGTTGAAGGTAAAAATTGACGATATTGAAAGAAAAATAAATCAAAATGCAGATGATGATCAAAATGCATTGCACACAGAACTATGAAGCTTGCAAGTTGAAAAAGAAGTACATCTAAAAAGAGCTGACACCTTTTACAAGGTAAAAAAGCGGCTAGACTCGAGGCTCAAAAAGACAAAACCAAGGAAGCTATTGTAATGGATTTTCAAAAAAATCTTCATTTGCCGAATATTACAACTAATGATACGTATTATCGTAGACAACTTTCCTTCTACATGTTCAACATACACGTCCTTTCGACCTCTGAAGCTCTATTCTTATACTTATACTGAAGTTGCAGGAAAAAAGGGTGCTGATGATGTTGCTTCACTACTATGGGATTATATTTTTAACTATCTGTATTTTGATGTGAAGGAGCTTACAATATTTTGTGATTCATGCTGTGGACAAAATAAAAACTTCACAGTGTTCAGAATGTTACATTATATTATTCATTTTGTTAAAAGATTTAAGAAAATCAGTGATTTTTCCTATCCGCGGACATTCGTATCTTGAATGCGATAGAAATATGGGTTTAGGGAAACAGAAAACGTATGTTGAACTCCCTCAAGAATGGAATGCAGTTTTAAGGGATTCCCGAACAAAACCAAGCCCTTTTAAAGTTATTTCTTGTGAAGATCAATACATTTTCAAGAGTTGGACATAATTTCTAGCAGATATCTATATGACCAAGTGTCCTTTTCCTACAAGACTGGTCAGATAATTAAACTGTAACTGAAAATCAATCTCGTATGATGATACATAGGGACAGTTATAATGGTCAAGAAATTGAAAATGTCATAAAACAAGAAAGAGACTTTCGTTACCTGAAAAGTGTTTCCTGTTTCCAACTTTAGCTTATGATGGGCCAGTAGCTATACCTAAAGCCAAATTTGAAGACCTACGGCATCTAAAATGATTCTGTTCTCAAAAAGCACAGGCTTTTTTTACAGCAATACCACATTGTTAAGATTGCAATTTTTGTAAATCATGGACTTTCATCTTTTTTGCCAAGTATTTTTTGTATTAGAATCAAAGTTTTTTTTTGTACTTTTTTTTTGTATTAAAAATTTATAATTTTTTTGTATATTCTGTCAAAAAGGATTTTAGTTTAAGTTGGCGATAATTATATTCTACAATACTATTTTTGTATACCATGTTCTACAGTAGTCTTCCTAAATAAAAATCACAATTACTCAGAATTGAATTTTGTGGACCCTCATATTTTTTCCCCTGTACTCTTCATGTTATTTACGCTTGGAAAAGAAAATTCTTCAAATAAAAGTTGCTTGTGATGTCATTCTCTATAATTTTTGGTACGTATTCGATATACACTATTGGACAAAAGTGAAGCAACTTTTATAGTAAAATAAAATATTTAATTATTTAAAATAAAATGAGCAACCATGGAAATTAAAAATAATTTAATTTAAGTGGTCATAGTAGGCTGCAGTCATATGTGACATGGGATTGTTTGCAAATGTCAAATAAGTTAGTATGTAATAATTTATTTCAACTAGACCTTTTATTATCGCGACAAAAGTATAGCAACTCTTTGATTTGGTTTACAGGAAAAGGGTTTATTATACAGGTAAAGTTCTAAAATGACGTTTTTCAATTCAATTAAGCTTAACAGCTCTAATATTTACAGAATTAAATATGCCAAAAGGAAAACGAATCTGTACGGAGGTACAAGAAATGGTCGTAAACGCCTTTTTAGAAGGGAAGAGTAAGATTGCGATTTCCAAACAGTTCGACTTGCCCAAATATAGTGTCTCAAAAATAATTTCACGTTATAATGAAAGAGGACATGTAGAAAAAATGCCGAAATCAGGAAGGCCCAGGAAAACTACATTTTGGATGGATAGGAGAATCAAAAGAATTTCTCAAAGAGATCCGTGGTTGTCAGGACCAAGGATAATTGCTGAAATTCCCGAACTGGAAGTCAGTGCGAGGACTGTTCAACGACGATTAGTTGAGGCGAAACTTTATAGCAGACGTCCTGCCAAGAAACCGTTGGTTTCTGAAAGAAATCGCCGTGCCAGACTTGAATTTGCGCAACAACATTTGAACTGGACAGTGCAAGATTGGGGAAAAGTATTGTTTAGCGACGAAAGTCGTTATAAAATTTTAAATTCTGATGGAATGAAGCGTGTCAGGCGTCCGGTTAATATGAGATTTCACCCAAAGTATGTTACGCCAACAATAAAGCACGGACAAGGTAGTGTATTTGTATGGGGTTGTTTTTCGTGGAGCAGAGTAGGCCCACTACATTTTATAGACGGAATTATGGATCGCTTCGTCTACAGAGACATACTCCAAAACGTTATGTTTCCCTATGCTCAGCGGGATTTATATTCCAACAGGACAACGATCCGAAACATTCGTCTCGCCTTGTTCAGGAATGGTTTCAGGAGAACAATGTCCAGGTTCTTATGTGGCCGGCCCAATCACCAGACCTCAACCCCATTGAGAACCTTTGGGAAGAGGTTGAACGTCGTATTCGGACTACAAGATTCCCAAATAAACAGTCCTTAATTGATAAAATTAATGAAGTTTGGATTAATATGCCGGATATTACTATCCAAAACTTAATTTCATCAATGCCGCGCCGTTGCCAAAAAGTTATATCTAATAATGGATATCCTATTAATTATTAAGAATTTGTTCTTATTTTGTTTTAATCCTTCAACCATATTTGTGATTTTTCAGTTGTTAAATGAAATACAAAATTTTTTCATAAAAGTTGTTATACTTTTGTCGCGATAATAAAGGGTATTGTTGAAATAAATTATTACATACTAACTTATTTGACATTTGCAAACAATCCCATTTCACCTATCATAGCAGCCTATTATGACCACTTAAACTACATAAATTTTGATTCTCACGGTTGATCGTGTTATTTTAAATAATTAAATATTTGATTTTATCATAAAAGTTGCTTCACTTTTGTCCAATAGTGTATTTGAGAAAAAGTACAAATTTCGAATTTTGAAGATAACTCAAAAACAGAATAAGAGAAAAGCACCAAATTTGTAAATTTTAGCTTTAATCCATCCTGCGGTAAATTAATTATATTTGGAACATCTGGAGGCGTACTTTATAAAAGGTATTTTTTATACTTTTTGGAATATGTTATTTACGCTTGGAGAAGAAAATTCTTCAAATAAAAATTGTTTGTGACATCATTCTCTGTAATTCTTGTCCTATACATAATTTCTCTAAAATAGACCGTATTCGAGATATTTGAGAAAAAGTACAATTTCGAATTTTGAAGAATTATACCGGGTGTTCAAATTAAAGTGTTACAGTTAAATACCGCCGAAAATATGAATTTTAGAAAAAAAAGTTTCAGATAAAAGTTTTATAGTTTTTTGGGGGAAACATTTTGGCCAAATTCATTTTTTTATAGTTGACCATAATATGGGCATATCGAGGTGGACTTTGTTTTTTTTAAACGGGAAGCCCATTTTTTTACATATTCTTAAAGTACATAAAAAATAAGAAACTTTTGATGAAAACATTTTTTTTATTAGACTTTTACTTTTTGAGTAACAGCTACTTGAAAATTTTGCTAGGCGAAAAAAAAGTTGGCCATATTATGGTTAGCTATAAACGATTTTAGCCAAAAATTTTTCCCTACAAAACTATAAAACTTTCGTCTGAAACGTTTTTTTTTATAAAAGGCGGTATACAGGGTGTTATTGAAATACACGTACATATTAAAACTGGGTATTGCGCAGATCCCCACTGAATATAGAAAAATATTATTTTTTAAAAATACCCCTTATTAGGGAGTTATTAATTTTTGAAAATTAATTCTAAAACAAACGTACTTCACTGATATGTTGAGGATGACCTATATAAATTAGGTTTATTTACCTATTTTAAACATCAACAGTAATTAATATGCAAGTTTTTGTCAGATGATAAGAAAACTAGTCTTGTAAGAAATAACCATGTTGCCAAGATTTTCGAATTAATTTCTATTTCCGAAGACTGGTTTTTACTACCCTCGTTATCAAAAAACTAGAATATTTGATAAATGATTGTTTTTAAACTATACATTTTTGAAACTATAGATTATTAAAATTTTAGTTGATTTACGAATCTGGCTAACACGAGCGCGTCATTTCTAAGTTGATAAAAAGTGTTGTTACGATTACTTTTAAATATTTTTTTACGATGCCACTATTTACGAATATTGAACTAACGGATATAGTGCTGGTTTATGGGGCAGCTGGAGAAAATTCTCGGCAAGCACAAATCCTGTATCGCGAACGGTTTCCAAATCGGAGAATTCCGGACTGTCGTACGTTTATTTCAACTGTTCAGCATCTAAGAGACCATGGAAAATTTGAGAGTGTCAATGCAGATCGAGGGAGAACAAGAACACAAAGAACATTGGCGACCGAAGAAGAAATATTGGAAGCTGTTGAAAACCGGCCTCAATTAAGTTGTAGAAGACTAGGTCTTGAAATTGGAGTGTCCTCATTTGTTGTGTGGCGGACACTTAAAGAACAAGGTTTACATCCTTATCACATCCAAAAAGTCCAGGCCTTATATCCAGGTGATGAAGAAAAGAGAGTGGAGTTTTGTGAATGGATGATTCAAAAATGTGTTGAAATTCCTGATTTTCTAAAAATATTATTGTATACTGACGAGGCTTCATTCACTCGTGATGGCGTGTTCAATATGCACAATACGCATATTTGGAGTGATGAAAATCCTCACGCCATTAGGGAAACTGGGCATCAAAGAAAATTTTCAATAAATGTTTGGGCTGGCATAATAGATCAGTATTTAATCGGGCCTTATGTTCTCCCGGACAGATTAAATGGGCCAGGATATCTCCACTTTTTAGAAGATATTTTGCCAGTACTCCTAGAAGAGATACCGTTACAATTAAGGCAACGGATGTGGTACCTACTAGATGGCGCTCCTCCTCACTTTGATTTAAACGTACGGCAGTTTTTGAACATTAGATTTCCTCAAAAGTGGATAGGCAGAAATGGACCTACTAAGTGGCCTCCGAGATCTCCGGACTTAAATCCATGCGATTTATTTTTGTGGGGTCACATGAAACAACTGGTTTATAATGAACCTATTAATAGTGTTGAACAATTAACCAATAAAGTTAATGCGGTAGCTGAGGAACTACGACAAAATCCAAGACTAATTTCTAATGTTCAAAGTTCTTTGGAAAGACGATTGCAAGTGTGTGTAAATAATAATGGACGGCATTTTGAACAATTACTGTAATAAACTTTATTTTGAATTAATTGGTTTTGCTACGGCAACAGTGCAATTTCTATGGGTAAGTTCAATTTCGATTTATTTTACTTCTTTAAATATGGAAACTAGTAGGTCGGAAAAGGGGACTCTTCCCCAATATTTAAATTTTAGAATTTGAAGTTAAAATTGGTGCCAATCGTTTTTGGTCATTACATACTATTCCCCATTTTAATATGTACGTGTATTTCAATAACACCCTGTATAGCTGTACCACTTTAATTTGAACACCCGGTATAATTGACTAGATGATAAAAACGTTTGAATCTTTGTAAAAGCTATTACCTTTATCGCCAGATATTTCTCATCAGGAGCTTTATTTAGGAAATTATTAAGTTGTTCTGGCGTAAATGTTTTTGCCGCCTTTTTAGCCATATGTTTGTCTGATTGATTAATTCCATTATTTATGTTGAGTGTGCTTCTTAGCAAAGAGTAGAAAGTCCATGGAGAAGAAGCTTTATTATATTTATTGCTAAGTTCATTAAAATATGCCAAAGGTACATTTTCTGTAAACGAGTTACATACACCAATCTTGAAAATTTTAGTATACACCTTTATGCTTGTTGGCAATTAATATTTACAGGGGTGATACAATAGGTTGTACAAAATAACCGTAAAAACCTGTTATAACCAGACAGGAAAGTCATGTGTTGGACACATCATATTTTTTAGTTAGATGTTTAGATTAGTAAATGCTGTATTATCAGTTTTAGAAATTATAAATATTAAATAACAACTGCTAAATTTTTATCTGTGGTTGAAATTTTCTTAATACATGTGAAAATTACATGGTTAAAAATATAAAACAGTGGGGTAAAACTAACTGAAGAGAAATAAATGTACGTTAAAGTTTTAAAATGTAGTTGCTTATTTCAAATAATTCATAATAAAGGTTCGTACTAGTAATTTACCTGATGATGTTTAAATCTTCCGAAATACTGACTAACCACAATATGATATATTCAGCATTTAACATGTTTTAAAATAATTTAACGAAATAATAATGCTTCATATTGTTACGAATAAATATAACACCCTGTGAATAAGTACGTTATGATATATGATATATGAAATATTCAATAAAATAATAAAACGTGTAGTTGGACAAGGTGTTATTAAATCATAATATTAAAGTACAGGTTCAAAGAAAAAGATCAACAAGAGCACTCTTGAAACATTTCAAGTGGATATTTGGGGAGTTCCTTTTGGTCTTTCGAATTCGAATTAAGTAGATTCCATTTTTTGTGTCCGAAAGTAGAGTCACGGGTCGTGATTAGTTTGTTTAGTAAAAACTATAGTGATAAAAGTAACGTGTGCTTCCGCCAGCCTTTCAGCCCAACAAATTGAATAGAATGCTTATGTAAGTAAATAGTTTTAAGTAGTTATATTTAGTTGTGTAGTCAGTGAAGACTACGTGATTGCGGAAGCAATATTAGTTGTTTTGATTTGTTAAATAAACCACAGTTATTTGTTTTAAGCTTGTTTCAATTTTCTTTGGTTTAGGAAAACTCAGGATCATTCAAAGGCGGTATTGGCTTAGTCAGATCTCTGAGAGAGGGAGATACTGCCAAAGGGAAGAGTCTCCGTAGGGCAAACCCTTTCCCCGTCCTCTGAATCATCGTCAGGAAGTTAGGGTCCCTTCTGAACTTAATCCCCTAGCCGTGTGTTGTCTAGAGGCCAATTTAAATACAAATTGGGCCCCTCTATATAACTCGCGGTTACCGCTAAGAGTGGACTTTAGGGTCAGTCAAAAAGGCTTATAATCTCACTCTTAACAATATCCAACTTAAAGAGGTTGATGATGGTTCTGCATTTACGAAACGTATATCTAAATTAAATATGCCATAATATGCACAATATGGTACAAAATAAAAAAACTTAAATGAGTGTTTGTTTATTTTTGAAAATAAACGTAGTGCAGTGGAATAAAAAAATAGAACTAATTTGTTTTTTAGAGAATATCTCTGAAACCGGCCCTGATATTTTAGTTTTCAAAATATCTTCAGATTTGTCTTCAAAATATACAACTTTTTCCCCATTTAACTAACTCTATGTTACTAATGGTTAACAAGATAGCAATACATTTCAATCAAAAAGTGGCCACCCTGTATATTATTTTTAAACTATATATTAATTTAGAGTTATAAAATAAATTTTGGACAATCATTTACATTTTATTAAGTGAATCACCCTAACTACTGCATCAGATATACATAAAACTTAAGGACAACCAAATTATATTTGACTTTTTATTTAATTTAAAATATTATAGTGGAATATTTCCACTTTCTTTTAATTAAAAAATCCTAAACTGATTAAAATAGATAATTGCAACTATTGTTTCCGCTCATCCAATAAATATTTTTCGTTTTTTTTTTTTATCTTATAATAGACTTACAGTGACAGTCAAAATAATGGCTCTAGATTCTCCGAACTATGATTCTAGATCTTCGTCCCTTTGACTCGAAAAGTATGATACAAGTCCGCCAAATTCCCCACTCGTTTCGTCTTCTCCCCTTCCTGGATTTTGTTCCGGCGTATCCGTGGGAGGATTTTGAGCTTCGCTCTCGAAAGGTTCTACATAAGCAGGTGGATGATTAGTGTATGGAGGCTCTTCATTAGATTCGGGATGCGGGTGATATGAACCATAAAAACCAACTGGTGGAGGAGGTTGAGCCTGTGATGGAGCTTGTGATGTGGGTTGTTGAACACTGGGAGGGGGATAAGTCGTTCTGGGTGGTGGTACATGTGTCATCATGTGTACTGTTCGTGAAGGAGCTCCTGTAATTAAATACATTGCTTTATGGGTGGCTGTAAATGATTATGGTTTTATTTTGTAACCAGTCAAATTTCGGTAAATCAGCGCTGCAATTTAAACTCTGTAACATTCAAACTAAATTAGACGAAAATAAATGTTGTAGCAGTATTTTAGGACTTAAAAAGCGCGTTTGACACAATTGACAGGCAAATAATGTTATCTAAATTGAAACAATATGGTATCGAGGGTAGAATACTGGATTGGTTAACTATTTAAATAATCGCAAGCAGAGAGTCCGTTTTGCTGACCAAACATCATATGACAGAAATAATAACATGGGGATTATTCAAGGTAGCCTATTGGGTGCCCTACTTTTTGTTTTATACATTAATGATATTGAACTTTTCGTTGATTGTGGATTTATTTTTTTTTATGTTGACGATACTTTAATAGCCTGTAGCGAATTTGAATAAAGCCATAGAGAAAAAGAATGTTTCATTATTATCAATGAATAAATACTCAAATATACAGGGTGGTCCACCGGTAACGTCTCGGTCTGTATATCCAAAACTAAACTTTTTTTAAAAAATCGGTTTTTACGGTGAGATGTATATCAGAAAAGGCAACAATTTAAAAATAATTTCAATAATACAGGGTGTTCCAGGAAATTGGAATACATCAAAGTTAGGTTTTTTTAATCGGGACACCCTATATTTTATTGCATTTTTGAAATCTAAAAAGAAAATTAGTGTAACTTTGTTAAGGGGTTGTTATACCTAGAGTTTATCATTTTTGATATATTCGAGGATTTTAAAAATTTTGGGGTGTTTAAAAACTGTAAATATATCCTACATTTCTTAATATTTCAAAGTGATTTTTTTAAGGTACATTAAGCGTCTTCTGGGCTGTAACCTCAAATACTTACTGATCAAAAATATCGTATAGGGTGTTTACGAAATAGATATTTATTTTACGTAGATTTAAACACCAAAAACTTCGTTATTTTAAATAGAACACCCAGTATATTTTAACATTATTAGAAATATCTTTCGAAACCCTTCCAAACTATATACATAGGTATTCCCTATACCTATATGTTGTTGTTTTAGAGAATAGTCTAGTTCTTATAATTTATGTAAATAATTCATTAAATTTAGTTAATCATGGTGTCTGGGCATTGATTGTCAATTTATGTCATTTTAATTTAAACTGTTTCCAATAGGTATTATTTTGTGTTTTGTCCAATGTTGTTATTAAAATGAAGCAATATTCTATGCAAGAAATGGTGGATATGATTCTCACCATAGGTGAGTGTTATGAAAACTGTCTTTTAGCAACACGGGTTTATGCCCAAAAGTATCCAGACAGAAATCAACCGGATAAGAGAACTTTTGAAAGAGTTTTAGAACGTTTTCGTACAACAGACAGTGTTGCATATTCAAAACAAACTGTGAGTAAACCCGTAGTTGATAATGAAGACAACGAATTTCTAGTATTAGGTTCAGTAACGGAGAATCCTCACATTAGCACCAGCGAAATTTCGAGGCAAATGGATATACCTAGAACCATTGTAATGAGAATTCTCAAGAAACACCGATTCCACCCTTACCATGTCCAATTTCATCAACATTTATATGGTACTGATTTTCAACGACGCATAGATTTTAGTTTATGGGCGCTAGAACAGGTAGGAGAAAATAGAGACTTTTTCGATTTTGTCTTATTTACAGACGAATCCACTTTCCATAACAATGGCATAGTAAATCGCAATAATTTCCATTACTATGATACAGAAAATCGGCACCTATTTAGAACTATTGAGCGACAAAACAGATGGAGCATAAATGTTTATGAGGGGATTATTGAAGAGAAAGTTATAGGCCCATATTTTTTTAATACTCATCTAAATGGAAATAATTTTTTGAGGTTCCTTTGTTCAGATTTTTGGCTGCTTCTCGAAGATATACCATTGAACGTACGGCAACAAATGTGGCTACAATTAGATGGTGCTTCTTCTCATTTTGCGCGGGACGTGAGAAATTACTTAGACCGGAAATTTCCTAATAAATAGATAGGAAGAGGAGGCCCATGTCATTGGCCACCTAGATCACCCTGTTTAACACCCCCAGACTTTTTTTATGGGGTTACATAAAAAGTCTTGTATATAATACCCCAGCAACCACGCCAGAAGTTATGAAGGAACGAATTAAGAATGCATTTGCAACTATTACGCCGGATATGCTAAAAAGAGTAAGAAATTCGTTTGAACGAAGGATCACAATGTGTATTCAAGAAGACAGTCATCATTTTGAACATATATTAAATTAATTTATTATCTTGTATTATTTTGTAATTCGTGTTTCAAAAAAAAAATGTAACAATGTTAGTAAAACTAGCACATATAGGTATAGGGAATACCTATATCGTTTGAAAGGGTTTCGAAAGATACTTCAAATAACGTTAAAATATATTTGGTGTTCTATTTAAAATAACGAAGTTTTTAGTGTTTAAATCTACGTATAATAAATAGTATTTCGTAAACACCCTATATAATATTTTTGATCAGTAAGTATTTCAGGTTACAGCCCAGAAGACGCTTAATGTACCTTAAAAAAATAAATTTGAAATATTAAGAAATGTAGAATATATTTGCATTTTTTAAACACCCGAAAATTTTGAAAATCCTCGAATATATCAAAAATGATAGACTCTAGGTATAACAACCCTTTAACAAAGTTACACTTATTTTCTTTATAGATTTCAAAAATTCAACAAAATATAGGGTGTCCCGATTAAAAAACCTAACTTTGATATATTCCAATTTCCTGGAGCACCCTGTATTATTGAAATTATTTTTAAATTGTTGCCTTTTCTAATATACATCTCACCGTGAAAACCGATTTTTTAAAAAAAGTGTAGTTTTGGATATACAGACCGAGGCGTTACCGGTGGACCACCCTGTATACAGGGTGTTATTGAAATACACGTACATATTAAAACTGGGTATTGCGCAGATCCCCACTGAATGTAGAAAAATATTATTTTTTAAAAATACCCCTTATTAAGGGAGTTATTAATTTTTGAAAATTAATTCTAAAACAAACGTACTTCACTGATATGTTAAGGATGACCTATATAAATTAGGTTTATTTACCTATTTTAAACATCAACAGTAATTAATATGCAAGTTTTTGTCAGATGATAAGAAAACTAGTCTTGTAAGAAATAACCATGTTGCCAAGATTTTCGAATTAATTTCTATTTCCGAAGACTGGTTTTTACTTCCCTCGTTATCAAAAAACTAGAATATTTGATAAATGTTTGTTTTTAAACTATACATTTTTGAAACTATAGATTATTAATTATTTTAGTTGATTTACGAATCTGGCTAACACGAGCGCGTCATTTCCAAGTTGGTAAAAAGTGTTGTTACGATTACTTTTAAATATATTTTTACGATGCCACTATTTACGAATATTGAACTAACGGATATAGTGCTGGTTTATGGGGCAGCTGGAGAAAATTCTCGGCAAGCACAAATCCTGTATCGCGAACGGTTTCCAAATCGGAGAATTCCGGACTGTCATACGTTTATTTCAACTGTTCAGCATCTAAGAGACCATGGAAAATTTGAGAGTGTCAATGCAGATCGAGGGAGAACAAGAACACAAAGAACATTGGCGGCCGAAGAAGAAATATTGGAAGCTGTTGAAAACCGGCCACAATTAAGTTGTAGAAGACTAGGTCTTGAAATTGGAGTGTCCTCATTTGTTGTGTGGCGGACACTTAAAGAACAAGGTTTACATCCTTATCACATCCAAAAAGTCCAGGCCTTATATCCAGGTGATGAAGAAAAGAGAGTGGAGTTTTGTGAATGGATGATTCAAAAATGTGTTGATATTCCTGATTTTCTAAAAATATTATTGTATACTGACGAGGCTTCATTCACTCGTGATGACGTGTTCAATATGCACAATACGCATATTTGGAGTGATGAAAATCCTCACGCCATTAGGGAAACTGGGCATCAAAGAAAATTTTCAATAAATGTTTGGGCTGGCATAATAGATCAGTATTTAATCGGGTCTTAGTTCTCCCGAACAGATTAAATGGGCCAGGATATCTCCACTTTTTAGAAGATATTTTGCCAGTACTCCTAGAAGAGATACCGTTACAATTAAGGCAACGGGTGTGGTACCTACTAGATGGCGCTCCTCCTCACTTTGATTTAAACGTACGGCAGTTTTTGAACATTAGATTTCCTCAAAAGTGGATAGGCAGAAATGGACCTACTAAGTGGCCTCCGAGATCTCCGGACTTAAATCCATGCGATTTCTTTTTGTGGGGTCACATGAAACAACTGGTTTATAATGAACCTATTAATAGTGTTGAACAATTAACCAATAAAGTTAATGCGGTAGCCGAGGAACTACGACACAAAATCCAAGACTAATTTCTAATGTTCAAAGTTCTTTGGAAAGACGATTGCAAGTGTGTGTAAATAATAATGGACGGCATTTTGAACAATTACTGTAATAAACTTTATTTTGAATTAATTGGTTTTGCTACGGCAACAGTGCAATTTCTATGGGTAAGTTTAATTTCGATTTATTTTACTTCTTTAAATATGGAAACTAGTAGGTCCGAAAAGGGGAGTCTTCCCCAATATTTAAATTTTAGAATTTGAAGTTAAAATTGGTGCCAATCGTTTTTGGTCATTACATACTATTCCCCATTTTAATATGTACGTGTATTTCAATAACACCCTGTATAAAAAAAACTAAAATTAAATGTAAGAAAACCAATTTAAACAAAAAAATAATAAATAAAATTGGTTTAGAAATCCGTAACTTAAATCAAATTTGACATATGATAAATGTTACGTTTGTGTGACGTCACCAGAGTAACCACAATACTGTTACCAAGATTATAAAAAATTGCCTAAAATCATCAACAAAATCCCGATACACTTCATATTGCGTTAAAGAATACAAAAGTTACTCTACATTACCTGAAACAGTGGCCGGTGAACTGACTGGTGGAAACCTGTTCGGAGGCGTTGACCTAGAGTAATTTTGCGGTTCCGCTTTTCCAGGACTTCCCGAAGGAGGAGGTGGTCTTCCAGATGGATTAGGTTCTGGAATATTTATGGGACCTCCACCCGAAGGTGAGGGATCCATAAAGCGGTGTGGTTGGTAAACATGGGGCGGATGCATACCTAGAAATATTTATTTTGTCAACCATAATTTTAAAGTTAAAATTACTGATAAGGAAAGTTGTACAACAGACAGTTAAAATGTAATCTTAGCTTAAACTGCAAACCTCTTATAATCATCGATTATTGTTCAACATAGTTTAAAAAATGATATTTGTATGTTGAACATAACCCCAGTTTGATAAACTAAGTTTACGACATTATTTGTACAACGGGCCCTCTAAGTGTATTTACATTAAGTTTGTTAATAGCCTTGTTTTGATTCTTTCACGAATTAGTTCAAAATCGGTGAATTATTACTGCCATTTATTGTCTTGTTATTATTATTATTATTGGCTACATTCAATATGAGTTATTTTCACCTGTAAATCTTCATCTGTTAAGTGTACTGTGTTTATACTCTGAATTAGATCAATCGATGTTTAAAGAGAGGTTCTCAATTATTGATGATCGATTCAGTGGGGACCAAAAAAGGTTAGCTTTGAGCAAAATCTTGCATTAACTTTGATAATAAATAGTAAACAGAAAAAAATATAAATAAACACTGAAAATTTATATATTTTTCATTAATGTTAGCAATTATTACAGTTTCTTTTATTTAAATAAAAACCATTATTATTAGATTGTTACTAGTGAGTCATGTCACCACCATATCATTCAACAAAGAAAATTTGAATCTTTTAGAATTAGTTCAATTCGATGGGTTAGTTCTGGCCCTGCAAGTCATGGACCACCAAAATTGGTCCTGTCGGAAGTTTAATGAAAAACCACTTTCCCGAAGTAAAATTAAAATTTTTTTCGACATGATTTGAGAGAAAAAATTTTAACGTTTCGGTCGCAGTTACGTGTTCTTGAAAAATAAACTAGTCCAACGAATTTTAGAACTTTAATCGAACCAAAACAAACCCAATGTAAATTGAACACTACTACAAGAACTTCATTTATTTAAATTACCTTGAGGGCTTGGTAGGGATGTTGGTGGTCCTCGCATCTGATGTGGAGGTAATATGCCTGGTGAATAGTGATTCATGTTTGAATACATAGGACGAAAAGGTAAACCCATTGGTCCTCGAGGCCCTCCTATCAATATAAAAATATTTTAGCTTTCTACACAATCAGATCTTGAACGATAACAAATAATAATATTCTAAATTCAAAAAGACAGTGGTCTTTACCAGAGAAATAATAGTCGATATAGACAGTCAGATAGTAACCGATTAAGGTGCCCCATTTTCGCATACAAGCCTCGAAAAGGGTTGAAAAGTACGTCGATGAATGAGAATGAAAGGAAATTTACGAGTGGTTCTTGAGGCTAACAAATGTAAAATTCGATTTTCCTTAATATAAATATTTTTTGGTCCCAAAATGCACTTATTCATTCGGGTTATTCAAGCCAATATCTTTTACAGACTAGTGGCGATGTACGTTTTCATACATTCGATGAGCTTGTGTGGAAAAATCGATTAAACCCTTGATTTTTTATTGCAAGATTACGACTTTTTTAAACCCTTAGCCACTTGCAAGAACATTAAGGCCGCAGTTTCACTGTATTTTCCCTATAAGAAGCAAGGGTTCACCATTTACGATTGCATTTAAATCCCGTTAAATATATTAAAATTAATCTCTTCTACCAGCTTAAAGTATAAGGTTTGGAGAATGAAATCTCCAATTTTTTATTTGTCCTACTTATACACTGAATTTAAAAAAAAAATCGTAAAAAGTGATTTTAAAACCAGAGCTAAAAAGTAGGAGATTTCATTCTACATATTTTTCCAAGTATCTTGTCAAAATATTTCTAAATTTTATTGGGTATTTTTCAAATCTTTTACTTTAGAAAACTTTTATTTACATTAAAGAAATATATTTACATGTCAAATAATAAATAAAATATGTCACACTACCGAACCCGAGCGGTGGGTTTTTCGCGCGGGCCCTTAGGGCCATGGAGGTGTAACCCTCCATTAAATTTATTTTTGACTCAATTTACTGTCAAATATAGCAGCCCTTACTCCTTACCTGAACGGTATTATTAAGGAATTTTATTGGATTTTGGGATCATGAATGGGAATTTATTTGAGGATTTGTCGTGTCTTTGTTCTGGTTTTTGTCCCCTGAAAAAGCTAGAAAAAACAGGGTTGTCCTTGTATGTACGTGGGTCTCTTGTATAGTCTATGTTTTAAATTACAGCCCCCAGGCTTGGTGATCGATGAAACTACCCCCAGAGCATAAGTTTTCAGTTTCAAAATCCTTTATTTACTATTTACATATGTACAGAGATTTAAATAATATAATAATCGCATTTTACAGGGGGATTTCTTCCTGAAGACTTCCTGGAAGTGTTCCTCTTCTGCGATGTTCCTAACAGGACCATGACCGATGTTGTGGCCTCGCGATTAATTAATTATTTATTATTATTCTGGAGTTAGTGATATCTCCTTGTTATAAAACATTATATATCAGTTTTTGGCTACTAACTAGATCGGTACTTGAAGGATGATAGAGTTTTTGTCTGATTTTAATTAAGTCTGTCTTCCCTGAAAAACAATATGAAAAAACAGGGTTGTCCTTGTATGTGAGTGTGTCTCGTTTTAGTTTACGTACGTGAGAAAGCCAAATCTATAGACTACACAGTAAGGTCCCCGCTCGATACCAAATTTGTGGCAATAGCCGCAATTTCTGCATCGCTTAGTGACGTCACCGTGCAGTCTTCCGTCCGACTAGAGTTGATAGCTAGCCGGATTCGAGATTTGTCTATTCAGTGTAATGCTCGCTGCTGTGAGTCAGTTAGTAGCAGCGCCCAGTCCACATCCTGTCGGTAGCTGAGGGCTGTATTTAGTCACGTTTATAGATTTTAAGTGCTTTATGCAAACATCCGTGAACCCTGTTTGCGCCGTCATTCTGATGAATTGAGAATATATCTTCCTTTAGCGAGTTTGGTAGGCAATTATTGTAAAATTTTTCAGCTAATCTTAGAATGTGATCTTTAACAGGCTCAAGTGATGTTTGCATATGCATGTCATGTATTCTAGCATAGCGGTTATACCCCAACGCCAGCCTCAGACACTTGTTCTGCATTATTTGAATCTTTTTGAAATGTGTATTAGCCATGGAACAGAAGACTGGACTTCCATATGTTAAGATAGGTCTTAGTACCTGCTTATACAGAAGAAGCTTATTCTCAGATGAAACTTCACTTCTTCTGTGTAATAGTGGATATAGGGCAGAGCATAAACTGCGAGTGTATATGGCTCGCTGAATTTGCTCTGTGGGTCGTTTCATTGTTCGGTCTGCCTTCCGACTAGTTCGTGTAAATATCTAGTCTTGGAGTGATTTTATTTAGTATTTCTGTCGATGTTGGGAAGGAAGGATGGTGTAGTCTAGCGTCTTAGTCTGTAAATGTCGAGTTTTGCATGTATACAGCCGTGTTTTCTACGCACGCCATCTCCCCGGTGAATGTTTAGGATATTATCTGACATCATCGGGAAGACATCGTTTGTAGAAATTTTCGGCTGTTTTTAATATGTAATCTTTAATCATTGGTGTCTGTTTGTCTATGCATGTCTATAATCCTGGCATAACGGTCGTAGCCCAGCGCCAGCCGAAGGCATCTGTTCTGTGCAATTTTCAGTTTTAAATAGTGACAGTTTGACATAGAGCAATAAACTGGACAGCCATATGTAAGGATGGGGCGTAGGATAGTATTGTACATAAGTAGTTTATTCGACAGAGTGACTTTGCTTCTTCTATTTAGTATGGGATATAAAGTTTTAACAGCTATGTGGTTTTTAGCCACTCTGTCTTTTATGTGTAGGTCGAATGTTAATCCCCTATCTAACTAAAAGCCGAGGTATTTTAATTTGTTTGTGGTCGGTATTTCTTGTTCACTGACTCTCAGGGCGGTTTGAATGCCCTGGCTTCGCCTTTTAGTGATTAGCATGCTTTCAGTTTTTGCAGCATTGATTTTCATTTTATTTTGTGTTAGATAGGGGATTAATTTCCTGCTTATATGGTTGTCCAGCTTTCTTACTGCTATCTCTGCGAAAAGACGGATGTCGTCGGCGTACAGTGCCGTTTGTACCCCATTATCACCCATTGGCATGTCATGAGTCATAATGGTGTACAAGTGGGGCGAAAGTACTGAGCCCTGGGAGTACTGAGCCCTGAGATTTTTTAAATATAAGTGGAAATACGATTAACAAATATTTGATAAATTTATTTGTCAAATTAGAGATTTTCTATGAATACCTGTAATTGTGTAGTTCATCTATTTTTAAGAAGATGTCACCTTATAAAACAATGTAGCCACTCTGTTTTAGAGATGGTTTTAATAGGTGAATGATTGTTTAGAGGTATCAATTTTTAAAACAGTTATACAGCTGTATGCCGTCTTTTATGGTTTCGTGATTTTCATATATATTTGTCTCGCTTCGTTCCAGATACAAAATTATCGATTTATTTTCCTTCTGTATGAACAAGTATAGGCCATGTTACCACATGTACAATAATTATCGATTTATACGATAATTTCACAATTCTTTCTCGAACGAATTTAATTTTAAAGTGGGTGAAATGCAGGAAAGGAACTTTATTGCATTCCGATGTAATTTGAATCCGAATGACCTGGCATCACTGTATGGTACGCACGTAATATTTGCCGGACTTGCTTTGTTCTTCTGAATGTTATTTTATCTTTATAAGGAACTTTATTTCTGAGTTAACAGGTTGACTGCTATGTGTATGTCCCATTAGTGCGTAATTGTTCAATATTTTAATTTGTGTTAAAAACACGCAAACATGTTTAAAAAAAAAGCTGTTATTATACGACGACACTCGAACGGCGGATATAACTATTGAATTATTATAGAAAGTTTCTAGACACTTTGAAACACACTATACATAACAATTTTGGATCCGCTGATACTAAAAAAAAAATTTACCTTAAAATCCTTAAACTTTGTTGTCGGGTCTCCATTATAAAACAAATGTGAAATAAACCATTTTCACTGATTTCTTGTTGTAGAAATGGCTAAATATTAATATTAGGCCATTCATAGAGCAATAAATCATACCAAATTTTTTCATAAACGATAAAATTTTCTTATTTTTCATTTTTGGTTTGTTAGAAAAACAAATAAGACTGTAAATTATTTTTAATGACAATTGACGTGTCTAGTTTCTATAAATGCGGTGTTGCCAAATCGAGTAAGAAAACATATGTCAAGAAATAATTTGGTTAATGAAAGTTGGCTGTAAAATTACATAGTGTCTGGCCAGCAGGTGAATTTGGATCCCGAAGTGAAAACATTTGAAGTAATCACAGACATCCGTCTTTTTATTTAATTTCATGATGATTGTGCGTCGGCATGTCGGTACTTATCTGTGTAAAAAATATTTTTTTTTTCAATTTGAGCTGTGTCCAGGCCGTTGGAGTCTATACCGGTCGGCGTAGACAGGTATGGGTTAAAATTTTCTGGTGGCGGCAAAGCCGCCCCCCTAAAAGAAGTCGTTCGTCTTATTGTATATTTTCTTATTATTAGATGCCCACGATAAAAACACGTTCGTTAAAAGTTGGGATCGAGGTTCACTGGCCAGATGCTAGTCAGGGTTGGTTAGGTTATTTCATGATGATTGTGTGTTAATTACGGCATATAGATACTTCTCTAATATTAGTAAAAAATACCTGTTTTTTTTTTCAATTTGAGCTGTGTCCAGGCCGTTGGAATCTATGCCGGTCGTCGTAGCCAGGTATGGGTTAAAATTTTCTGCAAGAAGTCGTTGCTTCTTCGTCTTATTGTATATCAATATTGACGTCGAAGAGTACTCTGCCGATGAGGGCGAGGAAGAAGATCTTGATATGGGTACTTTTTAAATCGTTAGTTTTATATAATTTTTTCAATACTGAAGTCAATTGGTTGGCCTAGTACAACACAGGGCATAGCTAAAAATGACCATTGCTATGTAATAATTGATATGGCAACATTGTAGTTCTTTTAGACAGATGTCACACTGCAATGTCAATTGTCATTGGGTTCATGAAAATCAGATCATTTCGACGAACTTTAACCTGGTCGTAAATTAAGAAAATAAACTGTTTACGAAAAAATTTGGAATGGTTTATTGCTTTATGGATGGTCTAGTACTATTATTTAGCAGTTTCTATGACAAGAAATTAATCAAAATGACGTAGTTTAAATTTTGAAACATTGAAATAAGAGGACACATTTTAAAATTTTAAGGTATTTTTATGTCATACTAGTTCATTATTGTGTTTTTATTGCTTAGTTACCAACTATATAATAAAGTTCACTTTATGGCCCGCGCAGGCATAAAGTTCACTTTATGGCCCGCGCGGGCCTAAAGAGAAATAATTTTTTGTTTAACTTATTTAATAACCTTTATTAATGAAATTACAAACGGAATATAGTAATATATGTAAATATTCGATGAACATTATTTTGACGAATTAATATAAAATTGGCAGTTCTGCTTTAAAAATGTATAGATTTGGTCAGACAATCGTTTATGGATCACCCTGTATATTTATGAATAATTGTTAAATAGGATCATACAACTTCTATATTAACTTTTTTCGTATTTCCTATTATAAAACTGCTATCGACCAATTACGAAACTTATAGGACACCCTGTATGTGTTACTGACTAACATACTGGTATCGTTGGATATGTAAATTTATAAGGAATTGTATGGTTAAATATTATATAGGGTGTGGCATTTGAAAAAATTAAAAAATTGGACTTAGCCATATTTAAGACTTGTTTTTCAAAACACTTTGTATAAAATAATCCAGTTCTATCACCACTATTCGTTAGCTTATCTAATATTAAAAAAAATTAAATCATTGTAAACCTACCTAAATTATAATTTAATTTGGAGTCTGCATCATTTTCAATTTATTATTATGTTACGAATATTAGGGGTGGTACTATGGCCTTAGAGCTTTTGGTTTTCTAAGGCCTAGTTCTATTATTTAATCATTTATCGAACATGGCTTGAGTGAAAACATTGGCAACAAATTCCTTTAATTTATGTTATGGAAAATCGAACTTTCCATATATTATTCTTAGGAGCCACTCGTAAATTTCCTTTCATTTTACTCAAAATCGATGTACTTTTCAACCCTCTTCGAGGCTTGTATGCGAAAATGGGACACCTAAATATGCCACTATGTGACGGTCTAATAATATTGTATCTTATTTTTGATTATTATCCTGTTAAAAAAAAAAACTATTTCAGCACAGACGCTGTAATCATAACTAGTCTGGCTCCTGCTTCATAACTTTCGGGGTAATATACGCATTTCGCCTCACTCAAATACTTGTGACGGTGACTCAGGTATCCTCAGAGATAACAGGATATATAACTACAAACAAATCTCGTGCTGTAGTGAATAAGACATATTCTAAGGGACACAGAAAGGTATAATATCCGCTTTTGTCTTTATTCTCGTTTTGTTTACAAAATAATTTACATATCTTAAAAAAGCTAAAATAATTCAAACTATATTATTGCAAATGAACCCAAAATTTTTTGAATCATTAGTTAAATCAAATTTAACTGAATTAGATACAATTTCACTAAATTGGATGAGATAATTTTCAATGAATTCCAAAACCTAGTTAATGTTAAGTTTGATATCAAATATTTGGTACTAGATGTGGCAACAGGGCATGTTCTACAAGCACTTATACATATATTCATTGATAGTTTTTTTTTTTGTATGACCATAAAATCATTCTGTTTATCCCCTCTCCTACCTCTTACCACACGTCTCTTCACTCCTCATCACCAACTGGACGGTATCGAGAACTGAATCATGAATATATTTTATCAATGTAAAAGTATTTTGTAAGTAGTTTATGAAAATGATATAAGATACGGGGTGTTCCATTTGAAATAACCGAGAAAATCATGGTCGTGAGTTTTGGGTTATCCTGTATACAAAATGAAAGATATCAAAAACATGATGAGTTGCAACAAAACTAGACTTCTACGAAATTATTCTGGCCTTGAAATATTAACCCTCAATTGTTGATTCTAAAAAATACAGGGTGACGATTTCATTAAGATTTTCACATAAAAGTGGCCATTTCTTTAAAAGTACCCTGTGGAACCTGGTAAAACTCAATATTGACGGAATGGGGAAAATGAGTAAAATTCAAGATAACATATAGGGTGTTCCACTAAAAAAACAATTATAGTATGTTGTGACTTTATGAAACACTCTGTATATTACGAAATAATTTTAAAATGTGAAGCTGGACTCTATCTATAATTTATATTTAAAACTTTTGTTCGTATTCCTCAAAACAACGGAGATATCAAACTCCGGAGTATAAGTTGATCACACTGTATACTAGTTTTTATATAATGCAATTTTACGATTTCCAAAGGAGGCCGAAAAAACATATCAAGAGAGACATCAGTTAACAGTAAATAATAAAATCTATGTGATGCGCATGTCGCTGCAAAAGTTATGTAAGAAAGGCTAGACGCTAGTCCATACCTTTGAAGCCATAACCCTAAACAATATAACTTAAGGATGTTGGCTATTATAGTTATAATGGTCTAAGATCCGAAGTAAGGTCGACCTTCACCCATCTGTTTAATGGATGAAAGTTTTTTTTCATTAAATAAAATATGTTTACAAATATACCGCAAATGGGTTGCCTAAGAAAATACGGTCCAGACTATTTATTTTCTTAAAGTAAAAAAAAAACCTGTAAAGTATTCCCCAGATGCTTCGACTATTCCCGAACTTTAATCAGCTCATTGCAAGATGGATCCTGGACTATAAGTATTACATTTAAAACAAACACATAACAAGGGCCACAAGGCAGGACCTCGTAAGTCGCAAAATCAACATTACAGCATTGCATAACACTTTATCCCCACTAAGCTCCACTCCAACTCTGGAAAGTTTTTAAACCACCAAAAAATATTCGACATTTTAAAGACACTTAAAACAATAAATAATTACAGAATATTTACGATATTCTTGCGCTAAACTATATCCTTAAACTGAATTAAAATTACACTCTAAAATCTAAATATTTCACAATCGTTAGGTAATTATTTTGTAGAAATTACTGGGGAATTTAAAACCTTTTTATTGCATTGTAAGTACTTCATTTGTGGAAATATCAATACACTTAAGGAGATTCTTACTATTTTTTCTAGACAGTGCAATGAAAGAGGACCTGTCACAATTTTAATATAGTGAAAGAGGAAGGCTTACCTTGCTCGAAACGTAGTTTTGATTTCACTAAGTTTAAAATCGGTTGGCTGATATTTATTATTTATTAACTACTTTCAAAATTACTTTAAAATTCCCGAAGACGGCTTATGGTAGCGTTGGTGAGTAGTTGGACAGCGTAACGTCCGGCCCACTCACTGTCTCTTCCCCTCGTTCCCAAATCATTTAAATATTAGTTGAGACGTGCTTTCTTTGAAATTTTGATCAACTAATATATTCAATTTACCTTGGTATTTATTATAACAATTGTTATTAATATTCCCAGGTAAATGAATGAAAGTACTTGATAATTTATGAGACTTTTATGTAAAATCTTTAGATTAATTAAAATAATATGCACAGTAATACATTTTTTCGTAAAAATACATTTTCTGAAATTTACTAAAATATGCATTTTACATATATTCCGCTCTCTAATAATAATCATAATTAGACCAGTTGATTTGTTACCTGATGAGTAGTTTACAGGAGGAGGTCCAACGACTGGAGACCCTTCTCTATGCTTAGGCGGAAGCGGAGTAACTTCGTCGTCATCATCAACCATGGTGGCAAATTGTTTCGGCCTGATGGAACCGATAGGATAGGTCGTAGTTTGCCCCGGTTTTGTCTGTAACATTCTCGTAATAACAGATGGTGTAGGAGCTGCTTGCGAAAACGGTTGAGGCGGCGCGGCAATTTCGATGTTACAGTCCAAGTCGGTGACGGCTTTTTTGTTACCCAAATTAGCCAACGTTTCTTCCAGACTTTTCTTGCCTTTTCCTGAAATCGTTTGTCTAAGGTGAGGAATTGGAAAGTGAACAGACTTCTACCTAGGCAATATTCTGACATCTTAAAATCTTAATTTACTGATAGAATCTTCAGAGTAAAACAAGAAGAATATTCCAAGCTTAAAGAAACTAAAGCAGGGGTACCACAAGGAAGTGTTCTGGAGCCAGTACTTTACCTGTTGTTTACCTCCGACATACCACAAACGCAAAATGTGAAATATATGTAAAAAAGGATTAATATACGTATTCTAATTTATTTACCGAAAGTTATTTAATAGAAAATAACATTATAAATATCGTATATATAGTAGATTTGTCTTTGCATGGATACTTGTCATCGTCAGAAAACCATTTTCAATTGTGCATACTACCTACTGGACTATCAGAAACAAACTGTTTAATCATAAATTGCATTAGTCGAGGCAAGAGTTGTATAACATTATATTATAGCATGTTCCAAAATAAATTACATTTGCATACCCTAAAATGTATTAGCTGTAGATATATTTGACAAATTTGACATTATGTGGTTAAACGCAGTAAAAACGCAATCATAAATAATAAATCTACTGTCATTGGCACGCTGTTGTGATTGACACACTGTTGTACTAGACATACTGTTGTCATTAACACGTTACTGGCCTTAGTACACAAACTACATCGTTACTAAAATCAAAATATTTTAGAATTATTTGAACTTTGACCATAATTTATTTTAATATTCAAAAGTAAGTTATTTGAATGTCAATTAGGTACAGGTTTGGTAGATAGGTATTATTTTATGATATGTGGTTAAATAGCCACTGCCATATTAAAAATGGTTGTTTTCCTCATTGTACCTAAAATCGGACATTAGCTTATAAAACTAATAAAGCGCAAAAATACTTTTTAGGACTTTTCAGTTTTAAAAAGCTCCTGCTATACTTTTTAAAGCGTTTCATTAAACAATAGTAAAAACGAAAATCTCAATAAAACATTAATGAGTTCAATCAGACGGGCATAACCTAACCTCACTCTTGAGCTTCTTATTTACTCTACGAATAAGTCATTCAAAATATAATAACTAGTAATAATATATTAACCATTTGTCTCTTTCACTGATCATTTCCATAATATTAGGGGCCTCGGAATGTTTCTTTGGTATTTGTTAAACAATGACACACAATGAATTTATTAAATACTGAGGAGAACCATAGGTTAGAGATAAGCTTAAAATCGCGAACTGCGATTTATTTAATCGCAGCGATTATACAATCACAATCTGTGATTACTTTGTAAAGAAAACTGTGACTGCGTTTTTCAAAGATGGGCTCGGTTGCTGCCGGAATCGAAACCAACGATTGCCAGCGATGAGCTGCGCTATGTCGACGCCGAACGCCGACTGACCCGACAGCGACCCCCGACCATTTTCGATTTCCGCGATTATGCATAGATCCTTCCGAGAAACCTGTGACTGACTACAAACGAAAATTCATGCGATATGTGATCGCCGCTCGTTGCATTCATTCTTTATTTTATTTAAAACATTTAAAAAGGCGAGTAAATTTTGATAAACAAAGAAAAATTAGTAATTTATAAAAATTTTATTCTGAATTAGATACTTTTGCAAAATGCAAAATTTACGTCGAAAGCTGTCTTATAGAATCAGCACAACATACGGATTTATTATAGAATTTATAATATCCAATGATTGTAACATCCAAATCCTATGATTCCTGTATGTTCTATGTAAATATAAATATAACATGGTGTATGGTCGTTTACGAATTTCGAAATGTAGAATCGCAATCGCAGGTTGCAATCGCAGTGAAATTACTACTTTTCTTTATTTTGAGCAATTTATCTTTCAACGTGAACATAATGACAATGTGATTGAGTTGAAAAGCTAGGTTATGCTTTAAAAGAGCCCTATCGTTTACTAGATTAAATAAATTATAAGAGTTATGTTGTAAAATTGTAGAAAATGTACCTAAAAGGTTCTGGGATCAATTTAATTTAAAGTATAATCCTAAAACACTTTTTTTTAAAACTAAGTTTTAAAACCTAATTAAGATAACTGCTAAAAAGTATGCATCTTTAACACCAAACACATCTTAGGAGTATCTTCAAACTAAATAGTTCTAAATTTACTTATTAATTAACCCTTACAGGATAGCGATAAAGCATAGTTTAGTTTAGGATAAACTAGTTTTCTTAAACAGATTTAAAGGAATCTATAAAACCAAGTAATAAGATCAATTTATCCTGCAGTCCTATTGGCAAAAAAATAACTAATAAAATAATTATGAATTTTTATGCTTTTACAAAATCCTAATAAAACATAAATAAAACTTGTTTCTCCTAAAAATGTTACTTGGGTAGCTAGAATGCAATGCAAACTAACAAAAAAAAGTATTGTTTTGTGAGAGCTTTCCAGTGGTTGGCATAGATCTTTCCATCGTCTGCAAAGTTGGCTTCATACTCGATAATTTTGCATAAATCACCCGTGTATAAAATAAATAATACCCAAGACTGAACATTGTGGTCCTCTACTTTCTACTGGATGGTCGTTTGACAGCTGTCTATTCTTACGCAGAACTGCTGGTTGAATAAATAACTCTTAAAACACAATAATAGATTGCTTCTTATTACAAAGTGTTCGAGTTTTCTAAGCAGCCATCTAGGTGGAACTTTATCAAAAGCTTTATCATAATCAAGATGTATGTATTACATAAATTGGCCGATTGTTGTCATTCCAAGCTGTACACTGGTTAACTGCACCTAGAAGGTTTGTAACAACAGATCTTTTAGGCGTAAATCCATTGCTTGTTAAAACTCTGTGTTCCGTCATAAACTTGGTTACTTCTTTTATAATATTTTCCATTGCTTTACCAATACAACTTGTAAGACCGACTGGACGGTAGTTTATGGGATTCTTTTGTTGCCTTTCTTATATATAGGAGTGACTATAGCCTGTATATTATAGTTTCTGTTTTTCCATAAATAGGTTCATAACTGTTGCGAGGAGAACAAGAAGACTATTAGAACATTTTTAAGGACTTGAATCTTGTTTAAGACTATTGTAAATTCACTTTTTCTGAGGAAAATTCTATATTAACTATGCTATTCTCAACTCTTCCTGTGACAATTATTTGAAGTGATTCTGTATCAGGTTTTGTTGTATAAGCTGCACTAAACTGTTCTGCAAATATATCTGGTATCTCAGCTGTGATTGCTAAATTTGTTGCTAGGTTTCTTAGCGTGATCTGAGTGCTGTTTGTATTCGGTGTCCTATTCACATAGGAGTAAAATTTATTTTTACCACTTTTTAAGAGGTTATATTTATAATCTTTTCTAGATACAGCCAATCAATTTTTAATTTTATTGTTCAGGTTTCCATATGCAGCATAATCTTCCTCAGCTCTTGTTGACTAGTACACCTATGCCATAGATTCCGTTTTTTATTAATTTCTTTGAAGTAGGTTCGATTGAGCCAGTGTTTTTATTTACTTCTAGTGGAATATTGTCATTTATTACTTTGTGCAGTATTTTTGTTAAAGTTTCGTAAGAACTATTAGCATCATCTTGCAAATGTGCACAATGTTCATCTATCTCATAATTGATTAATGTATAATCTGCTTTCCAGAAGTTTCTCTTTTTAACACTATGTGGATCCAGTTTGGATGTTAAGTTGTGCAACTGCTTTAATAACTACATAATCACTCAAACCAATAGGTGATTAAGTGTTAATTGACGTTATTAGTTTTTTTGTTGACTAATAATAAGTTGAGCGTGGATTCCTGATCGTTGCACACCCTAGAAGGGAAATTTATAAGTTGTTTGAAACCGGACTCCCTTGCTTCTATTTATATGTTACGTTCAATCAGTGTTAGAAATGCCCAGTCTATTTCTCAATAGTTAAAATCTCCAAACTTGTTTGTTCTTCTGATGCTTTCTTGATCATATCCATCAAATGTGTATTTTCTTGCATTCCAACAAGTCCAGGACGGTAAATACATGACAGAAGCATGTTTGATCTACCGATTTTAATCTCAACCCATACAGACAATTTTCAAAGCAATATAATTCCGCACCTATCAACTTATAAGGATGCACAATGGGCATATTTAGGCCTCACTATGCCCATTGTGGCCTCACTACCGTGGGTTAACCCACCCTACACACATTACATATACAGGGACACTCCTTTGACCTCCATACTTGTTTTTAGACAATGAAATTCAGTTAAAAATAGGACGCCACTGAAATCCTACGTTTTTAAATTTATTGTGAATATTTTTCACTTCACTATGATCTTCCTTTCAGTAATTTAGGCTTTCACAAACAAATACTAAGATAATTTTTTTTTATAGTAGATGTAGGATTAAAAAAATGCTTTATTATTCAAACAAACGTGTAGTCCAATTACAAGATAAAATTTAATGTACGGACAAGTGTTTTATAATAATAATTTTCCGTCGACCCACCATTTATGATGTATTTTAACGCACTCAAAATCGTTAATTAATGACCCCATTAATGAATAAGTTTCTATTAATCAACGATTTTATTATATGCAACCCAACGTACATTGCTTTTATTATACATTTATATTGACGAAGGTGTGTTAATACTGTCACTGTATGTCATTATTTAATTTATTAAAATTCACAAATTCTATGTACAGTTTTGTTGTTTTTCGTTAAATAAATAAAAATTGAAAGTAAGATATCTTTATTTTTTAAAAGTACGGTCGACGGAAAAGTTCTGCAACGAACTCGTGAATTAAAATGGCGATTAGCAATCCCTTATTTATACACCTGTTCGCTAAATAACCATTAATATTTAATTAAAACTTACATAAGTGAATATTTAGTACTTTTATTTATTTTTAATAAAATTGATAACATTTTGTTTGAACATATATAAATTTGTGGACCTGATTACATAATTTATTGAATCTTTTTTTTATTTCCCTACTACTTTTATAACATCAAATATTAGTTTTTTTCA